TTTGTTTCCCTTTATTATTGATAAATATTATATTATTCAAACTTCTAACCAGGATAAATATATAAGTAATATTTAACGATATTTTTTAATTGATTTAAATACGAAACTAATATATTTTTATTTATTATATTATATTATTGTATATTTAATTATTACAATATAATATATTATATTATATTATATTATATTATTGTATATTTAAATAAAAAAACAATATAAATATTTATCAACAAAGTAATACGCTAGAATTGCAGAATTAATATAAACATAAAGACAATCTATATGAAAAAAAAATACAATCATATAAACCAATGGCAAGAGAATTTTCAACGATAACGAAGTCATCGCAAAACATTTATTACATACACAATATTAATCGCTTATTTTATCTGAAAGTTGTATTATTTTTTATTTCAATTATTTCTATACAAATGCCAAAAAATGTAACAATTTATTATCTTTAAAAAAAATAGAAATATATATTTTTATTGTATCATGTAAAGTATCATCATATTCTAAGAATTATAAATATCGTATTGAAATGATATTGAATATTTATGAGAAATACAGACAATATCTTTCATTCTTTCCTCTAATTGTTAGTCTTTAAATATAAGACAAAAAAAAATTGAAAGTAGAAAAGTTGAATCGAAAATTAATTTCATTTGTTTCTTTTATTATTTGTTTAACAAACTTCGTGATAAAATATTAACATAATCTATTTAATTTAAAACAATTTACTCTGACTACTAATATTCTATTACACGACGATAACAAATCTCAGATTACGTAAATATAATGGACCGTACGTTAATTTTAGATGTTTTGTAATATTTTCTATGTTTAAAAAATATAAAATTATTAATATTAATATAAAATTTTTTATTGATTCTAATTTATATTACATTATAATTTTTTAAATAATTCTTTTTTTTCGATATTGCGATGAATTGTTCAATCATAATGCAATTAAATTTCATTAATAATAGATACAACATAAATACAACATATATATATATATATACGAAGTATCAGAAATGAGAGTTTGTTCTTTGTAAAACTGATTTAACGATATTCTAACGAATAATGGCAAAATATATATAAATAATAATCTTTTATTTTAAAATCTTTATTTTATTTTAAGTAATCAGATTATTTTATATATATAGTTTTTAATTGATATTAGACTATGTTATAAAACTATTAATTATTAATATTAATATTAATAATATATATATATATAAAATATTGTTTTCTTACCAGCTCTATGAAAAAACAAAGTTCAATAAACGTAAAA